TAAAGATCTTATAGTCACGCCAAGCATCTGTGGTCAAGAAACTGGAAATTCTTCATCAGAAGAAGATGAAGAAACTAWYGATAAAGATGAGAATTTCTTGTCTGAGCTAAAAACMCCAGAGCATGATTTGATGACYCTAGCTGACATGTGGGTACGGGATGAGATCAGTAACTATGACTACCTAATGGCTTTGAACTTCTTCGCTGGTCGTCGCCATGGAGACCCCAACTACCACCCCCTGTTTCCATGGGTAACGGACTTCACTAGAGAACATGGTAGTTATCGAGATTTGTCCAAGTCAAAGTTTCGACTCAACAAGGGCGATAATCAACTTGACATGACCTACCATCATGCACTGCTCGATACTCAGGAAGGAGGGGGRACTTCAGTAGCCCACCATGTCTCTGACGTACTCTCTGACATCACATTCCATGCATACCTGGCAAGGCGCACACCTGTATCTGTGCTATGCGAGCACTTAAGATCCAATTGGGTTCCTAATGAATATCCATCAACGATGGAGCGTCTGTATTCCTGGACACCAGATGAATGTATTCCACAGTTTTTCTCCGATCCAACAATATTCCGATCGATTCACAAAGGTTGGTTTTCYTGGTRTACGTCAGCCTGTGATCAAGTCTTTTTGTCTGGAAAAAGTTGTTTTTTATATCACTATGATGTGTTTCTATGGTATTTATGAAATGTTTTAATCTTTTTTTCTCCAAGATCTTCCAGACCTTGAGCTTCCTTCCTGGACGCCAACTGCTGAGGATTTCATYAAATGGCACCGTGATGTMCTTGAGGGTGATGAGGTATCCAGAAACCTTCATYTATGGATCGACCTTACGTTTGGCTACAAACTTAGCGGCAAAGCAGCCGTTAGAGCCAAGAACGTCTGCCTGCACTTAGTCAACAAAAACCAAGACGTTAGCAACTATGGCGTTGTSCAACTGTTCACCAAACCACATCCCGCTCAGTCCAAAATGGCCGATCTACGAAAACTMACCTCAACGGGRAGTAGCTTTGTCGACTCKGGGAGTGTTCAGCCGTTCTCTGTTAGTGCGTATCTTAAATCCAATCTGTATGATTCGATGGTKTCTTTGGATAGTATTGACGAAGTTGGTCTCGGTACAAATGATTCAACKCACAGCAGTACTACTGAGGATAGCTTGAAGACTCCTGAAGCTGAAAAAATATTTCTACCAGAYGATTGCAATCCTTTAAAGCTGCTAGAGACGTAYGAGGCCATACACAARTTTAAGCGGCAGTTTGTTGTTAAGAATAAACGCGATGAACCAACGGAAAGACCGGAGGTAAATAAAAACGAATACAAAAAATAAGTAAATAAACAAATTAATCGTATGAGGAAGTGGCTGATCCCATTAAAGAGTGCTCAATACACATAAAGTGTAGAGCTAGTTATATATATGATATCAAAGAGGCAAGATTTTGCTCTAACTCCGAGTTTCCTGCTACGCACTCATCAGACAGTATAAAGTAAAAGAGTGGCAGCATCAGTGGCGGAGAGATTTCATATTGTTTCCGTGAGATTAAATAATTTTTATATAATTTTTTTAAGCTTATTAACTGTTCACCACTGTTTCTTCCTTTTTTCCCATTAGCTATGCGTTGACGAGTCAATTCTCGATAAACTACTTCAACGCGATATCGAGGCTCTTGGGTGCATCGTCGTTGAGATGGTGCTTCCTGACAAAGTTCGCCTGGTGTCTGCCGGTCTGTCACAGCAACAGAAAATAGTTGCAATTAAAAACCTCTGCGCCTCGAATCCGAAGATTTTACCAAGGTTTGTTGACATTATGTAGCCAGCGTGGTGGCTCTAGGGAAGGGGAAAAGAAGGGGCAAACATGCTGTATTTTTGTGATGATTATCCATTCATTTAATTTCTCGTTTATTTATTCAGGTGTTTAATGCATTTGTTTGTTCATTGATTCAGTCGTTTACTCTCTCATTTATGCGTTCATCCATTCACATTTAATTCATTCCCATGTAATTTCCATTTCGTCCTTTTCAATCGTAGATACCTCAGGAGTGGTGTTCTAAGAATGTTGAATGTACATTCGTCACCTAGTGATATCATCAGCAGTACAACGTCTCATCTCCATCATTGGATTGATCGTGACGATGATCTCGCTTCCCTCAGCACTGGTCTCATTCTTCATCCCCAAACAGGCATCTTTCCTTTTCCATCGTATTTCAAAGAACTGCATTACTTCTTGATTCGGTTCACAAAAGCGCGACTTGAAGATCGTTACCATGGCTTACAGTCGTCGTTGAATAGAGATACCTCTCAGAAAATATCTCCTGTAGGACTAGAACACTGTTTCAGTAACAAATCTGAGTATTCTACTCGTCAAATTGATATCGCGGCTGAGATTCTTCCGTCTCTACTGCCTAACCTTGATGAGGAAGGTGTTCACCTTCTGTTATACCATCTTGAGCCACTGTTTATYAATTACGAGACGCGGCTGTATGCATTTACTCGTTTRTTTGATACCCTTGCACAATGCCTTGGTCCTAAGTCTACGTTAAAGACATTCTTAAAGCCTCTGATTGAGCTTTGTGACTCACGACTGTTGCAGAACTACGAGCACTTGGCGGCACAGTCTTTCCTCTCGCAAATCATCGTGCGGTTTGGACTGGACGTGTTCTTGGCACATTTTGTAAACTTCGCAGTAGATGCTGTCGCTTTTGAATTGATGCTTGAGAAAACAAARCGGTCTTCAGATCGTATATCTGTTCACAGTAACGAGGGTATAACGGCGGACGTAGTTGAAGAAGAAGCTGAGAATAAAAASCAAATGAACAGCTCGACAACGTCCAAGAGATCGTCCTATCTAACTGATGATGACGCTCAGTTAAGCGATCAAGAGGAAGAGGAGTACATAAATCGATATGATGACATTGACGAGCAGAATAGCTTCAGTAAGAGGCTGTTTACATGTGAAGAAGAAGACGAGAAAGATGTTGAGTCACAGGAAGACGCCTCTGCATCTGAAATTGAAGGGTTGGTTGTCTTGACCAAAGAGAACAGTAGCGATGTAAACGACGAAGAGGAAGGTCTTTCAAATACGGATTACCTGCTTGAATGCGTGAGTGAAACTCCAAAACAGGAAAAAAACAACAAACAATCTGCYAAGGACAACRATGCCGAAGTCTCTGGCRTGCTTGAAGAAGATAAAAGGGAAGAAGACGAAAACGATGGTAAAATTGCCGAAGAAATTGACTCTGACGTGCCGCTCAAAATAGACAGYCCTACSGATCAAATTTTGAAAACCRRCGATGTTACAGATATAAATKCAGTTGAAYCYACWSAAGATGACAATAACGCTAACGATCGATCCAGTGAACAAGATGAAGAMGATGAGCGGCTAACCGCAGATGATTCATCCGAAGACTCATCCGATGACGAAAAGTCAGATACACTAGGTGAACAAGAACCGCCTGAAACTAACCAATCAGATTGTCCGTCAGCCGACGTCTTCTACCAAGARACCAAATCACAAGATAYYAAGAAAACAGAACAAAATAAAGAGGAATTGAGCCCGCTATACGTCTCGGGGATTGCCGCTGAGAGTGTCATGTGGCTCGCGCCTCGACTTGGTCCTGCACTGACGTCACAATATCTTGCAAAGCAGCTTCTCACCATGCTCCCTCAGTGTTATATGGACGTGGTCGGAGTCGAGGAGTTTGAGCTTGAAGATGAGGACCGCAAAGCTAAATGGATATTGTACTGTTTGGGAAACTTTTGTGC